GTCTCCTAATTTCCCTTGAGGCTTCCTCTTTGATCAATGAATTGTTTAGAAATGTGTCATTTTGGGGCTGAGGATGTGGCTCAAGCGGTAGCGTGCTCGCCTGGCATGCGTGCGGCCCGGGTTCGATCCTCAGCACCACATACAAACAAAGATGTTGTGTCCGCCAAGAACTAAATAAATAAATAAATATTTAAAAAAAAAAAGAAATGTGTCATTTAATGTCCAAGAGTTTGTAGATTGTTCAGTTTTTTTTCTGTTATTGATTTTTAGTTTAGTTTCGTTATGGTCAGAAAACATAGTTTGGTTTCAGTTCTTCTAAATCTGTTAAAGTTTGTTTTGCGACCCAGGATATCTTACAAGTGTTCCGTGCTTGCTTGAGTTACTGGGTAGTATTTTATAAATGTAAGTCAGATCCTGTTGGTGGATTGATGAAAGAGGAGTATTGATACCACCAATTATACTTGAGTTATTGTCCATTTCCTCCTTCAGTTCTATTAGTTTTTACTTTATGAATTTGAAGGCATGGTATTAGGTTTGTGTAYATTAGGACCTTAGAGTTTTCATTATGTAATGTCCCTCTGGGTCCTTGAATAACTCTCTTTGCTTTGTACTCTACAGTTTCTGGTATTAATTGCCATTTGAGCTTTCTTTTATTTGGTGTTCACATGGAATATATTTTTTCCTATTCTTTCATTTATTTTTTTATTTTGGGGGGATATTGGAGATTGAACCCGGGGACATGAACCACTGAGCCACATCCCTAGCCCATTTTGGCATTTTATGTATTGACAGGGTCTCACTGAGTTGCTTAGTGCTTCACTTTTGCTTCTGCATTGGCCTCCTGAGCCGTTGGGACTACAGGCATGTGCCACTTTTTTTTTTTTTCTTTTACTTTTAACCTATCTCTATCATTATATTTAAAGTGAGTTTCTTGTGGGTGGCATAAAACTATTTTTAAAATCTGTTCTTACAATCTCTGTATTTTAATTGGTGTGTTTATTCCATTTACATTTAATATATATGAAAGTGTTTTGATTTAGACCTATTTTTCATTCTTCTGTTTCCCTTTTCAAACCTCTTTTAGATCATTTGAATTATTTTGTATTCAATTTAGACTTATGTAATTGTTTTTGGAACATATCTCTTTGTATAGTTTATTTAAAAAGATTACAAATTTTAAGTCGGTACTTTTGAGATTACTACACACATCTACACATACAAGGAGCTTTACTACTGCTCATCTCCAATATGTATTATATCAACATACACTGAAAACCCTACCTGATCCTTTTACAATGTTGTTTTCAACTGTCATAYATAGATGTTTTAAAGAGCTAGGTATCCAGATATTACCATTTGTTTTTCTCTTTCTTCCATTTCCAGAGTTCTGCATTCTCTTCTGGTATCATTTCCCTTCAATCTGAAACACTTCCTTTATCATTTCTTTCAGAACAGTCATTGCCAATGCACCTATTTGCTTTCCCTTAATTTGAGAATGTCTTCATTTTACCTTTCTTTCTCAGGATATTTTTGGTGGATATAAAATTCTGCATGGTGATTTCTTTGRGCAGTTTAATATTTCCCCCTGCCCCTGTATTTTTTTAAAAAATAATTTTAATTTGTTCTTTTTAGTTATAATGACAGTAGAATGTATTTTGGCACATCATACATATATGGAGTACGTAGCCCCTGTAGTTTTGATGGAAAGGTCAGCTGTCATTTGAATCATTGTTCCTTCCCCATGTGTAATACGTCAGTTTCCTCAGGCGTTCAAGAGTTGTTTTTGGTCTTCAGTGTTCATCAGTGTGTGAGGAGGGTATGTTTCTTTGAGCTTATCTTGTTTAGTGTTTAGTAAGCTCCTTGAATCTGCATATCTTATGCCTTTTTCAAAATCAGAAAGTTCAAAAGTATTATTTCTTCAAATATTTTTTCTGTACTGCACTTTTTCACCAATTTTTCATCTATTTTTTTCAGGCATTGTGGTGAATGTTGGATCTTTGGTCATTGTCATAGAGGCTGGGCTAATTTATTTCAAGTTTTCTTTTCCCTTTGTTTTCATATTGAAGGGTTCTTGTTGATCTCTTTTCAAGTTCATCTCCATTTTTTTTTTAAGCCCATCTACTCAACTTGTTATTTGGTTCTTGTATTTTTCAGTCTAAAAATTTCTGTTTGGCTCTCTTTTATATTTCTTGACTGAGACTTTATATCTTTCTATTCATTTTGAGACTATTCATCCTGTGGCTTGGATCATGGTTTTACCTCTTGGAAATATCCTAGGCCTTTCAAAGATGTTCCCTTTTGATATAGTCAAATGCATTTATCTTCTTTTCACAAAAACCTGAACTCAACTTTATTATCCTTATGTTAGAATGAAGAAACCAAGGCTCAGAGGGGTAGCATGTCTAGGATTYAGTGTATAACATGTACATTGAACTTAGTATTGTCACAAAGCCCCTGGTCTTTCTGGTTTGGCTGAGAACTGATCTTGAGTAGCGACTTTGTGAATGGGAAGGGGACAACAGACACATGACTTACAGTGTGGGTAGACACTGGGTTAGTAAAACATCAGCTCTCTTTACATAATACAAATAGTCTTTAAAAAGACTGTATTCATTTATTATTACTTCAAATTTATTTTATTTTTTATTAAGGGATTTAAATTCAAGAGATAAAAAGGGTATAGAGCATACTACCAGATGAATGCCATTGTATCAAGCCAGTAAGCATGCATTCATAACCCTGAATATACAGCGTGTTTTAAATTATAGTCACATTCTGTGCAGTAGATCACTAGAGCTTATTCTGACTGAAACTTTGTCCCTTTGATTAACATCTTTCCTTTCCCCACTTACACCCTCCTTCCCCTGCCTTGTATAGTAACCTGCCATATAGAATCTATGCTGTGGAATTATTTAACAGTGCATCTTGATAATAATGAATAAGCCAAGTGGTCTCTCACTCTTTTTTTGTGACTTTACAGTATTACRTTGAGTGGATATATTATAATTTACTTAATGATGAACTAGTTGACTTTTAATGATTTAAATTAAAATAAATTTTKTTGTTGTTGTCAATGAGCCCTTTATTTTATTTATGTGTGGTGCTGAGAATTGAACCCAGTGCCTCACACATGCTAGGCAAGCACTCTACCACTGAGATACAACCCCAGCCCCATTAATAATTTAAATTAACCATGGACTTTTTGACTTGAAAAACTTTTAAAAGTGAAGTATGACATACATATGGGAACATATACATGTGTGACTAGTTCAATGACTTATCAAAGAAAGACCATATACTGTAATCGTCACCAATGACAAGAAATGGACCATTCAGTACCCAATGACAAGAAATGGACCATTCAGTACTCTGTGGCTCCTTCCAAATGCCATCCACTTTTTGTCTCTAAAGGTAACCACTACCCTGGACTGACTTTCAGTCCCTGCTTAGCCTGTGCCTCTGTCATTCTCTTTCTTGCGGTGCTACGGAAGGGTATCTTTTTCATAAGGCAGAGACTCAAAGGTAGAAAATTAAGCAGAGAAGGAGAATGTGGGCACGGTGGAAGGACTCGGAGAAGATTTAGCTATTTAAGCATGCAGATATAAACATTTGAGGGAGGTGCTTTTGTGCGTATTCTGTTCTTTGAGTTAGGTTAGCCCTCCCAGCAAATCTTGCAGACCAACCAACCAAAGAAATCAAATATTTTCTTTTGGCAGTGAGATTTAGTGACAGATTATAGTCACTGGAGACACCACAGCGTAGGAGTCCCAGTTCTTGGCTGGTGGTGTGGTCTTTGATCATGGGTACCGTAGGGTGTGCTTTCATGGTGTGTTTCAGGACTGAGAGACYCTGGACACCAGATGTGGGCCAGTGCTTTTAGACATGATAGGTTCTCAGGATCAGTCCTCTTCATGCGCCCCTCCCCCCTTCACCAAGCTTTTATTTTTGACAAATTTCAAACTTTTATGGTAAAGTTGTAAAATGGTACAGCACTCTAGATTCTTCATCCAGATTGAACAGTTAATAATTCTTAGATTTGTGTTCTCCCTTTTGGTCCTCTTTCCCCACTCAAGGGAGAGTTAGTTACGGATATCATGACACTCCCTTTAGTACTTCAGCAYGGGTCTCTTAGAATGTTATCCTACAAGATCAGAATGCTGTAACCTGATATCAAGTTGTTATTATCATCATATAACATTTTCTGAGATTCAGTTGCATGTAGCACTCATGCTTCTCTAACCTCCATCTAACACCTTTCGCTTCAGATTGTCATCAAGATGTTTGAAGAGTTGAGGTCTGTTGTTTTGCAGAATGTCCTTCAACTTAAATTTGTCTGATTGACTCCTCTTCATTAGATTTGGGTTAATGGTTATAGACAGGAGCACTTTAGATAGAATTAATTGCTCTCAGTGATTTATTTCAGGAGACACGTGATGTCAGTTTGTCCCATCAATGTGATATTAGATATATTTTCTTGATTAAGCTGATACATGCAAGATTCTAAGTTATAAAGGTACCTTTTCATTTGTAGGTACTAAGCCATCTGTGGGAGGATATCTTGGGACTGATATCCTGTTCTCCAGTGATTTTTCGCCTGATGCCTTATATTACCTGAATCAATCATTGCTTTAGAAGTTGCATGATAGTGATTTTCTTTTTCTGTTATTCTTCATTTATTTACTGGGTTTCTTTTGTAAAGGAGACTCCCCTTTTCCTTTCTTCCTTCCCCATCTCATTCTATCTTATCATGTGGACTCATGAATTTTTTTTTATTTAGTTGTTCTTCATTTCTGTCATTATTCATTTTTATGCTCAAATTTGGCTGGTGGGACCTACTTAATCTTCTGGGTTGATATTACTGTAGCAAAGGTAAACTCTCTGTATTTAACATTTGAATTCATTTTGTAGCCTTAGAAGCTGTGGGGATTAATATAGGACTCATCAGTTAGATGCTCTGCCTTTTGTTTGCCTTAGATAACCTTTCTGTGCTCATTTTCCAGCAAATCACTGAGTTGAAGAAAGAAAACTTTAACCTGAAGCTCCGTATCTATTTCCTTGAGGAGAGGCTGCAACAGGAACTTGATGGCCCCACTGAACACGTCTACAAAACTGTGAGTGGCCTACTTCTGCTGTCTTCCCTGTGTCTGTTCTCACAGTCAYTCCAAGCAGATATTTGATTGATTTTGTTCCTAGAGTTGGCATGAATAGATGGAGACGCTTGGGCTGGGGATGTGGCTCAAGTAGTAGTGTGTTCGCCTGGCAAGCACGGGGCACTGGGTTCGATCCTCAGCACCACATAAAAAATAGATGGAGACGCTAGCATTCGATTTGGATTGATTACAGGGAGCATAAAGATACTAGGCTGACCCTCATGTTAAGCAAATAGGTACATGATTAATTTTAAGGAAGTTCTTTTACTCTCTCTTAAACGTCAGAATTCTGAGCCACTGTCTTTTTATCTCAGTTGCCTTTTTATAATTATTTACTTGGAAGCAGGCAGTGRAATGATAGAATGGCTTTGGATTTAAGTCCTACTGTTACCAATTAACTGGGGTAACTTCAGGCAAGTCACTTTAGCTCTCTGGGCTTGTTTCCAGAGTTGAGTGATAATCCCTGTGTCATAGAGTTGTTTGTGTGGATTAAAAAGGGATGACAGATGGAAAGCTCCGGCACAGGGTCAGTGCTGGATAATTATCAGCATAGTCTTATCGAGGCTTCCTTTGGCCACCCCAAGTTAGGATTGTCAGTTTTTCCTGTGATTTGACTCTTCTGTATTCTCAAGCTCTTGCTTAGAACTGTCAGGAAAAAAAAAAAAAAAAGTTTATTCCTATTTGAAGTCTTGACCTGGATGTCTTTATCTGAAAACAAACCTTGGCTCTGAGAGTTGRAAAAAGAACTTGGCTTTCTTGAAAAGACAGGAGTATAAACAATATTTCGGTGTCCCCCTGTTTTTAGCTTTTTCTAGTAGATTAGCCCTTGGCCTGGGAATTATTCCATCTTTTCTCCTCTGAAGTTTATACCAGTGGAAACTTTTGAAGGAGGAAAAACAACTCTCCTTGAATGTCAGTGGAGGAGCATAAATGGGCTTTTCTTGAAGAGAGCTTGTATTGTCCTTTGCAGGAATTGAAAATCTCCCTTGTCCCTGAAGGCACAGTTTTCTTTCTTCATAGGGGTGGGGGTGCAAAGATGACAAGGCTGTCCCGTTTTCTTGAAGGGAATGGTGATACAATCAGAATTTAAAAGAAAAAGCAGTAGTTTGAAACCTTTTTTGTGTAAGTATTGTGGCCATGCATCTTGGAACTTCTGGGGTTATTGGAAGCCACACTGTCAGGCACCTGTCCGGCACCATCTTGGGTGTTTGTGCATCTCAGGACAGCCCTGTGCAGTGGAGGTTATCCTCATCTTACAGGGGAGGAAACAGATGCTCAGGGAAGATCAGTAGCTTGGTTGATGTCATTTAGCGAGGTATGAGGCAGATTTTGAGTGCAGGTATGCTTACCTCAGTGTACCATGCTGCTTCACCTGTTTTTTTCCCTGTTGTCTGTGTAGATGGACTGATACAGTTACCTCCCTCCCAGTTAACTATGTGGGTAGGTGCACATGATTCAGAACTCATAAAACAGAAAAGGGACACACTGAAAAGGGCTCCTATATCTACTCAATATGATTGATCGATTGATTGTGTGTGTGTGTGTGTGTGTGTGTGCATGTGTATGAGTAAACCTGTTATACATAAGAACAAGCATGTTCTGCCCGGTTCCTTGTATTTTTCATTTAATTATGTCTTAGATATCTTTGTTTGTTTCTTTTTTTTTTTTTTTTTTTTTTGTAGCAGGGATTAAACTCAGGGGTGCTTAACCACTGAGCCATATCCCCAGCCTTTTATTTATTAAAAAAGATTTTGAGACAGGGTCTCATTAAGTCCTAGGACCTTGATAAGTTGCTGAGGCTGACTTGGAACTTGCAATCCTCCTGCACCAGCCTCCAAAGCCTCTGGGATTATAGGCATGTGTCACTGTGCCCAACACTTAGATTTATCTTTTCTTGGTAGTTTAAGAACTTCTCATTTTTTATAGCCTTATAATAGTCCATTTTATACTTAGAAAATGTTCTGACTTTTGGTTTGGAAATCACTATCATTTATATAAGCTTATAACTTAAGATATTGGCCATGTCGGGTCTCATGTTTAAATCTGCTAGGTTGGGTTCCATTTGGCTCATCACAAAACAGAGTTCTTAGAACATATCAGTTCACTCGGTCCCTGCAGCTCTGTTTTGTGAGAGTTGGGAAGGGCACCTGCATTTGGAGGGTGTTTCTGCAGTTTCCATAGAGCCACACTTGAGGCACTCAGTGTCCTGGCCTATTGCAAAGGTCAGTTTCTTTTAGGAAAAGTTCTGCCTCATAGGTGACATCTTCAGTTCCTGTTGTGCACAGTGAAGAGGGTAATGTTGACTTCCCGTGCCAGCTGAGTCAGTCCTCAGAGCCCCCAGGCACGTGGGCTTTGTGCTTTCCACTTGACACTCSAGGGGTCTGAGAGGCGGAGCATGGCTTTCTCACCCTGACCGTGTGCTGGGGAACAGGCACAGGCCACATCTCCAGATTTGTGCCTTCTGTGAGCATGAAGGCAGGGCCTGGGGCGGTCTTGTTTGCTCCAGTGTCCTCATTGTTTATTCTGTCACAGGCCCAGGGGAAGTGCCTGCAACAGGAAGGAGTRAACAAGCGAGTGTCCGCTGACTGTGGTCTCCTTCTGGGGAAGTGTACAGGTGGAATTTGAACCTGTGGGTCCTTCTGGTCCCATGTTCAAGACTTCCATTTTATTAGTACTTTCAACTTGGAGTGCTCATTCCCTCAGAACTGCTTGGCAGGAAGAAGGGAGCAATGTCCTCTGTGATTATAAATTTTACTGGAAATAATAATAATGATAGATTGTAATTATTAATAACTCTTAATATTATTACTATTATTATTATTATTATTATTATTAGGTACTTGGGATTGAACCCAGGGATGTTTTACCACTGAGCTACATCCCAGTTCTTTTTAAAATTTCCAGACAGAGTCTAAGTTGATGAGGATCTTGCTGGATTTGTGATCCTCCTTCCTCAGCCTTCCTAGTCTTTGGGATTATAGGTGCATGTCACCACATCTGACTGGTTATTTTTAGTTGAAATAATACATGTGTCATGGAGTAGAATATAAAATTGTCATTAATTATTAAAATAAAACAGGAGAGTGAATTTAGAGGAATYTTGGAATGCGAACTCTGTACTCTGAGCCCCTGTCTCTGCTGCGTGCATTCTTCTCATCATTCTCTCTGGGATACATGAAGGGATAGGTTTGAGAAGCCCGTCATTGCTCCACTGTCTCATGTTGTGTTCTGTCTGTCTAAGATCCTGTCTGAATCTCACGTGAGTTGTGGTGTGTGAGGATGGTGTGTATCTCACTTTGTTCCCGTCAATTAAAAGAAAGCTGGTTGGAGAACACTGTTCCTTAGTGTCAGCCTGCTCCATGCGGTGTGGCTTTTTTGTGAGTACCCTGAAATCTTATATCTAAGCCAGGCAAACCATGATGTGGACTCCCACTTACCCGTTCCCAGGTTTTATTTATTTTGTTTAAGCTGTAGCATGTTCTCACTGCTACAACCACCACATGCATGATTGTAAACAACCAGAAGTAATTGCCTGGAATGGTAAAAGCAAACTGTAAATTTGCTTGGCGGAAGGCAAACAATTTTTAAATCAGCCTCACTTGTATGACATTTATGCCTCGATATTTGAATGCTCTGGCTGTTAGAAGCTTGCAGCATTTACATAATTGTTCCAAGTCTAGAGAAACCCAGGGCTCTCTTTTGAGACCACCAGTGTTTAATAATTCCCTTTTCCCTGTGCCTTGAGGCTAATGAGGGCTTTGAATCTAACATCTGCTGTTAAAGCGTTGCAGGGTCCGTCTGTGTGTGGGGCGGCTCGCCCACCGATGAGATCTTGGGTCTTAACGCTGCTTCTTTTCTTTCCTTATCTCATCTGGAAGAACATCGAGCTCAAGGTGGAAGTAGAAAGTCTGAAGCGGGAGCTGCAGGAGAGAGAGCAGCTGCTCATCAAAGCCTCGTGAGTACGGTCGTGCTGCCCAGCTGGGAGGTTACCCGGGCTTTCCATGGTGGGCGCTAGGCTGGTCAGTAACTGCTTTTCTAAGCCAGTTGTTCTCTGATTGGCCTCCAAGGACTCCAAGGAAGTTTTGGTTTTATTTAATTACTAATTTTTCAACGAACTAGCCTAGAGAAATGAACAGGTCTTAAGTGCAGCATGGTGAATTTTCACCAAGCAAACACACCCGGGGAACCATCCAGACCAGGAAGGAGAACACTATGGGTTTGAAGCCTCCTTGTGCTTCTCCCCAAGGTAACCACTGTTTTGATCACTCTTGTCATGATTGCTTAGTTTTCCCTGGTTTTCAACTTCATGTAATTGGAATTATACAATAATGTATTCTTTTGTGTCTAGCTTCTTTCCTTAGCAATATATTTGTGAGATTCATCTGTTGTTGATTGTGTCAGTGGTTCATTCATTGTAATTGCTGTCAAAGTCAAGGGGGCACCGTGGCACACACCTGTAATCCCATGAAGGCTAAGACAGGAGGATCAAGAGTTCAGAGCCAGCCTCGGGGAGGCTCTGAGCCTCAACTAAGTGAGACCTCGTCTCTAACTAAAATACAAAAAAGGGCTGGGGATGTGGCTCAGTGGCTGAGTGCCCCTGGGGAAAAAAAACGTCAAGGGGTCCTGGTGGGTGAGGCAAGGAAGCAGAGGGTGAGGTAACTATTTAGAAGATCTGTTACAGGCCCTAGGATCCTTATAATGTTTTGTTTGAAAGGGGTTTTGTTACTTAAAAAAAAAAATTGAAATATTTTAGTATTTCCATTAATTAGTTCAATATTCAAATGTTAATGTATTTGTTGAACAACAGCGCAGTTTAGAGAACACAGCCTGCAGTCAGCTGCTTCTCCATTCATCCATCAACATTTATTACGTAATGACTTGTGTCACACACTGAGGCCCTGAAAAGAGACACTACCTCCTCCCAGAACTCACTGGAGCTGCTGAGTGGTTTATATTCTTGTGAATGAGTGGAGTGTGGAGGGGCAGTGATGGAGGGCATTTTGGGGGAAAGTGGGGCTCGATTTGCCTCCAAGAGTGGAATATGACTTCCCAGGGCTGCCTCCCTGAGGCTGGCTGGAAGCTCACGTGGGCATGCTCCCTTTATCATGGAAGCAGAGCTCCTGCTGGGCGTGGCGGGCTCTTTGGCTTGGGACACAGCTGCTCCATGCCAGGCCAGGGTAGCTCCTCTCACTGCCATGGTCTGGCAGCTGGACATTGGTCTGTGTTGGCTTTGAGCAGATGAGAGGTTTCCAGGCCTGGGCTTCTCCTCTGAGCTATGCTAAACTTGCACAGGCAGCATTTTTCTGAATGTGTAAATGAATAAATATAAGCAGATTAAAAGTCTTTGTTATTATTTATTTATTTGATTATTTTTGGAAGCATGTCATTCTCAGCTGTGAGGCAAATCTACTTTCCTAGGCCTGGAGATCAATAATAGAATTTAGTGTGTTTCCTGTACATTGCAGGCCTGCAGGTCTTGACCAGGCCTTGTTATTAGCTGAGCATGTCCATAGGGAAACACCAGTTGACAAGGTCTCATGTGCACGCTTCAGGGACAGCATGCAGCATGGAGTGCTCGGGGCCTTGCACACAAGTTTGTGTGCATATATTTTCCAATCTTCCCAGGCTGGTGTTCAAGGCTCTTTGCCATCTGACCAGCAGATGCTGTCTCCGTTGGATGGGTCAGCTGTTGTGTGCCGCACTGGACAAGGTTCCTGAGGTTGCAAAGTGATGATGAAGCTTAGGTTCTAGTGGAGCTGATGGCAGTCAAGTATTTGCAACAGTAAATGCATGAATGCAGATTGGGAAAAGAGCTATATGGAGAAAATAAAGGGAGCAGTGGGGGTTTATAGTTGCGGGAGTAGATATGTAGGTACGTAACTGGGAAGGTGAGCCTGTGAGGTGGCATTTGAAATGAAATCTGAGGTGTACGGAGGAATTGGCAGGTGAGTGGATGGAGAAGCGTTGAAGGAGAAGGGAATGCGTATATGTCTTAGGAATGAGAAGTCTAGGACCYTAGTGATTTTGGTCTTTCCCCTAAGATCAAATGAACAAGTGACACAATCAAGAGTTTGCTCTTGAGAAGGTCACACTCTGTGCTGGAAGTGGGTGGTGGGGAGAGCGAAGGGGAAGCAAGGAGGCCAGTTAGGATGCTGTTCAGTGGGCGAGGTGAGAGCTGGGTGCTGAGTGGTGGTGGTKGGAAGGACACTCGGGCAAGCCCACAGGCCTTGGTGTGAATAAGGAGGAGAGGGCAAGGCTGGTGCCTCCTGGGGTTAAGAGCATGAGCTCTGCTCGGAAACATCGGTGGGACTTCACCACTTTAGCCTCCTCTCCACCAGCTCTGCCCTACTGCGTTGAAGGCTCCACTGGTGCTCCTGTTCTGGCGTTCTCGCCTCGCCCTGGCGGGCTCTTCCCCTTTTGGTCCCCCCAGCTCAGTGCCTTCCCACTGCCTTGCCCTTGGAAAGGCTCCAATGTGGGTCACCGAGGCTCCTCCAGTCCATGTCAGTCTCTTCAGACTCTGACATGTAACGATAAGTCCATATGCACACCACTTTTGAGGTTAAGAACACTTTCACTCCCCTTGACATCCCATCATTATTCTGAGCAGAGCAAATCTAAAGGAGTACCCTCATTTTRTAGAGGAGAGGTTTTGGGTCTGGCAACAGGAAGGGTTCTAAGCCCTAGTCAGAAAGGTCGGAACGAGGGTGAGTTCCCCGACATGGAGCACAGCTCCAGGCTTCAGATTTTGTTTTTTGATTTTCATGCATAGATGGAAGATACCTTTGCCAATATACTTCCCTCAGCTCTCTTTTCTGCTGTATGATTTTTGGTGGGAGTGGAATATGGGACCTGCTATAGGAAAAGCCCTTGCTTTTCCCTAAAACTATAATTAGAATGGAAARAATCCAGAGAGAATGTTGAGGATACAGGGTAATGAGAAGAGAGCTGGGATGTAGCTTCATGGTAGAGTGCCTGCTTAGTGTGCTCACTGGGGAAAAAAAAATAATGAGGGTAGTATTTCTAGAAGGTTCTTTCTTATGTTGGATAGAAAGCTGGATTAGAACCATTTCCCTATAGTCTCCTTATCTCCCTGTATCTCCCTATCTACCTGTTAGCCCAGATTCTATAAGAAAAGCAAGGGTAGAAGGAGGGAACTAACAAGTGCTAGATCCTATTTTGTCCCAAATCCTGTTCCTAGCACTTAATGTGCTTTTTTCTTTTGATCTTCATAACAGTTACGTGAGGCAGCCAGTGTTCCCATTTGAGTGAAGAGAAAATCGAGGCTCAGAGGAGAGGGGAAACTTGCCTGAGTTGGTCACTGAGCTGGGTCTGATCTGGCTCCAGAGCCCACTCTGCCTTGCTGTGAAGTAAACATATTTGTTTGCTCATTTTCCATTGTTATATTTATCAGTTACAATAAGGAGGCATTAAAAACAAAAGCAGTCATATTGTTGGGAGTAAATTTTATCTCCGTAGCTTTAAAACACAAACMAAAAATAATAATTCCATTAGCAGAGGAAAATTGTACCATACTGCTGAGTATAAATTTTATTGCTACAGTAACTGTAAAATACAAAGATGATAAATGAAAAGTTGGAACATTTATTATTGGGAATATATTTTATTGGTATAACTAAGACACAAACAAACTGAATAATACCAGTAGTTGTTAAAAATTGTAGTCAGCCTCTTGACAGTGTACATGATTCAGGCTGTAAAATGCCAAGGTTAGATGGGAGCTGGTGGAGGGAGGCTCTGCTCTGGTGGGTGGGGTGAGGGCAGGGGTTAAAGAGGGGAGCGATTTTATAGTGGAGGCTCCATAAAGCCCCAAGGGCTAAGACATTTGTGAGCCACCCGTGGCAGGAACTTGGGGCCAGAAAAACCCTCTGTATGTGGCACAGGATGGAGGGCACGGGATGGAGCGAGTCTGGCATCCTTTTAGCCCTCTCTCATGCCCCTCGAGGGGCCATAGAAATGATTGTAAGTCACTGTGAGTTTTCCGAGTACTGAAACGAGTTAAGGGAGAGGTTGCTGAGGATACTTAATGGCATTAATCAGGAGGTGGAAATGATGGCCCTGGTTCTGGCTGGGGGGGTGGGCGGTGAGCTATTCCAGCTCAGAGCCCAGAAGAGGGATGGCAGGAGACCTCCTGCAGCAGCTCAGCAGGGGCCTGTGCTGCTCTGGCCTCAGAGGCAGCAGCCTCAGTGCGGTGCAGAGCACTCAGATGGAGGAAGAGGCACCCGCGTGTCAGCCATTAATTCTAAGAGGTAATCGTTTTTCACATGAGGAAACTAAGGGGTAACTGGTAATTTACTGAGGCTAGGTAATGTACCCAGAGTCACACTGGCACTAGACTAGAGCGAGACTGTGGAAGCGGATCTGTGTAGYTTCAGAGCCCATGCTCTTTACTTGCAGTTGTTCACACTGAATTCCATTAACATGATATCACAACCCTGGGGCCTTCTCCAGCCTTATTGGGGAAAGGAAAAAACAGATATAAATAAGGTCTTTATTTGCAGGCAACTCCTTTTTGAGACTTGGACAGCAAATTGGCCCTCTTGATTCTGCATTGTTCTTGGTAAAACGGTCACATAGCCTGGATGTGTGAGTGCCTGATCACAGGGTTCTCTGTTGGGGAAATTTTATATACCCCTAAAGTAGGACATGGGAGGCTAGTGGTGAAGACATTTTTTTTCTGTTGCAGTTTTTCTGAGAAACAGCTTTAGGTGGAGCCATTTCCTCTGTTATCCTGCTTTCTGGAAACCTGTAATCATTTAGAGATCCGACACAGTCTGAGYCTGCAGATCCGTGTCTGACGCGTTTTATTGTGGAGTCAGTGGTTGTGGCCCACATCTGCCCGGGCGCTATCCCCACACTGCTCAATGTGCAGAAAGGATATTCCAGGGGCCACAGTGGTTGCCTTGTATGTTTTGTGTCATCTCCCTCTTTTTTCCCTGAGAGGTAGCCTGAGCTGCAACAGATGGACCTAGCTGTATGTAAGGTGCTGTCCCCTCTTGCTGGTACAGCGTGACACTGTGCTTCTTAGCCCTCCAGATGCATTTTTGTTGCATTTGCTCCTTGGCATGTTGGTTGTTAGACCAGCTTTCCTATACCCCTGGTGGACATGACGTGTGCCTGGTCAAGAGCTTCCTCGTGGATATTCAGGCAGTAACTTCATGAGTCTTAAAAGTGTGCTTGCCCTTTGACCCACCAGTTCCCTTTCTAGGAATCTACCCTAGGAAATCAATGGATGGTAGACATACAAGGATGCTTTTATCATAACACTGCTTGGCATATTAAACAATGGCACTAATGCTTATTGAATGCTTATTTCATACCAGCCACTGATCTCAGATTTTTATGAGTATTATCAAACATGTTAAATCAGAAACAATTTAAATATTTAAAATATAAGCAATTGATTTAATAAATCATGTTATATTTCATATAGTAAGTTGATAGGTAGCTTTTAAAATAATGCTCTAGATTTCTATTTACTGACCCAGAAGAATGTTTATAGTGTATTAAGTAATAAGGTCAGTTCACTGATATGTATTAAATGGTTCTGTTTGTGTACAAAATGTCTGAAAGGCTACCTACTGAAATGTTGACTTAGTTATCCCGAGTGACAACGTTATGCATGAGTCTTACCTTTTTCTTATCTGTGTTTTGAAATTACATTAAAAAAAGAAAAAAGAATCTTGGTTTAGGGATGTGGGAGAAATGACTAATAAATATTCCTTGTCTCTGGGGAGCTGCTGAAGTTACCCACAGACTCTCACCCTAATGTGTTTTGCCCTCTGCCTTTTTCTGCAGCAAAGCAGTTGAGAGCTTAGCTGAAGGTGGTGGCTCTGAAATTCAGCGGGTGAAAGAAGATGCTCAGAAGAAGGTGCAGCAGGTGGAAGATCTCCTAACCAAGAGGATACTCCTTCTGGAAGGGGCAAGTCTGCAGATCTGAGGGACTGTGCTTCCCACCGCGGGTTGATGAGTGACGGGCTGGGTACAGTGTTGTTCCTAGACTGTCAAGAGTTTCAKCAGTCGCTATAGGCACCCTCACCCTTATTGAGCATCTCCTGAGTTTACTCCSCATTTTAGACACTTTATATACAGAATTCATAACCATCATACCCTGAAAACTGGCTGCCATTGTCTTCATTCCTATATGAGACACTGAGGTTCAGAAAGAAATATTAACAGGTCCAAGTTAAATCCTAGATTTAGAGCTGTAACTGCTGGGTTTTGAACCTGTGCTCTTTTGACCACACCACTCTGTTTACTATCTGGTTTGGTTCCTTTATTATAAAGATGAGGAAGCTGAGGCCCAGAGAAGGGGAATGACTTCCTTACCTAAAGCTAGCTGAGCCTGGAACCAGAAATCCTGGCCTTTAGCCATCGCCTGCCTGTTYAGCCCCTGTCCCTCTGGCCTGACCTCATCCAACCATCCTGCCAGTGCCCACTGACTGTCCTTTCTCTCTGAGGCCCTGTGTGTAGCTTCTCCTTCTACTCATTCTCAGTTATGTGTTTCCTGTGATCATGATGCAAGCCAGGATGTTTCCTGGCTAAAAAATCCTGTTTGTGTCCTGGGTTACAAAGTTTTCCTCCATTTTAACTATTATTAACTAATATGGGTTGAGCGTCCTTATCTGAAATGCTTGGGACCAAAAGTGTTTTGGATATGGGGTTTTCTTTGGATTTTAGAATATTTGCATTTACATAATAAGATATCTTGGAGGTGGAACTCATTCTCAATATGCAGTCCATTTATATTTCATATAGTACATATATTTCATATATACTTTAAGTACATAATTTCATACAATATTTTTAGTGTGCTTGGTTTTGACCATGTCACGTGAGGTCAGATGTGGAATTTTCCACTTGTGACATCATGTTGGTACTCAGAAAGTTTCAGATTTTGGAGCATTTAGAGTTTGGATTTTTTGATTAGGGATTCTCAGACTATTCTAATTATTTAATTCCTGGTCTTTGGAGTAGTTTGATCTCAATTTTTCTACCCATAACTCTGGTATCTTTTTAGTGGATGCAAAGAGAAATGACTCCAAAAAGTACTTCTGGATGTAAAAAGCAGAGTCTGTATTGAGCAGCTGCAGCTAGCTGCCACTCAGATTGTGTCATCAGCCCTTACCTTCCCTTGGGCCACACAGGCGTTAGGCTCAGAAAGAGCGAGAAACTATCTAAGCCAAAAGTGGTCGAGTGGGACCTTTAAAAGAAGGATTTTCTGGAGTGTAGTGAAAATATAATTATGCTTTGAAGTGACGTGGCTTTTGATTTGGCCTCCTGGTTTCCCCAGTGTGTGCTTCTCCGTGTTTTGGCGTGCTGCAACCTATCTTTGTCACCTTGGACAAGGCATTTGCCTTTCCTTTGCCTCTGCTTCTGTGAAGTGAAAAGAGTGCCGCCTGCTGTGTGGAGTAGAGGGAACCAGCATCTGTGGAGGCTGCTGGTGGGCGAGGCTCCCTTCCGGCACTGCCTGTGCACACTGACCAGTTAATCCTTTCAGTAAACTGAGGAGGCAAATAGTTTTACCACCTTTTTTCTCTTTTCTTTCTTTTAAAACAGATGATGAAGGAGGCAGAGTGGCTGAGTCACAGCTCCAGGTCCTGGGTGCACATGTCCGGTGGTCTGGCTGCCAACCCACATTCTAGAATGCTGTTCTGTACAGTTTCGGTTATAACATTTTAGGGTTGCTAAGGATCAACTGTGATATAAATAAAGCTTCTTGCTTAGAGCCTGGCATTTAGTAGGCACTTAGTAAATAGCAGGCTTTATTGTTTGTTGTCTTAGAATATGGGGGATGGTTTTTGTCAGCTTTCACTAGACTGACAGGCAAGCCTCCTGGGGAGACAGGCCTGAGGGGTACTGTGGAGGGAAAGGGCAGGGAGAAGGAAGTCAACATCTCTTGAGCTTCCTGTGATGCAACATGTTTTTAACAGAGGTTCATAGCAGCTCTTTGATGAGATAGTGGTTATTCCTGTTCTATGGATTGGAAAGCTGGGGCTGAGAAAGGTTAAGGGCCTATCTGAAGTCACATAACAAATAAGTAGGAAAGCTGGGTTTTGAACCCAGTTTGAGTTGATTTTATCTTTGCAGTATAATCAGAGGCAGGGGGCTTTAATAGTTGGAGATTTAGGCCTGCTCCTAGGTTACTCGTGTGAGCACTGGAGCCTTTTCCCCTAACACAGACAYTGCATGGGTGATTTATATAATTTTCTTGGTGGATTCTCTGAGCTCTCAAGAAGAACACAGAGTTTTTCACCACCTAAATCACTTTGGAAATCTAGAAAATGTACTTTAGAATTGTGTAGTCATTATCTTAAAAAGAAATGGGGGTGGGGGGGTGGGATGAATCTGTGTGGTGATCATGGTGACTCTTTGGAATTTATGTGTGTTTAGTATTGAGAGGCGCATTTCTCCTTGTTCTCATTGAAGCTGTAAATATTGATCTGATTTTTCAAAACCAAAAGTACAGTTCTTGTAGAGTTGATTCTTTTCCATTGGAAATGCCTATTACTCTTCAGGATACAAGAGGGAAAAATGGCTGGCAAATGTATTTATTACCGATTCTTTCCATGTATAGTACAATTCAGGGAGGGGAAATGTGCCGGAGAAAAAGTCATAAATATTTATATTTTAATCCAATTTCCTTTCAAAATGTTCCCAATTGTATTGAAAAATTGCATCAAATGCATTTAATTTAACTCTAGGATGTGAAAGCCGCCCAAGCAGAACTGGAAAAGGCCTTTGCAGGAACAGAAACGGAGAAGGCTCTTCGGCTGAGTTTGGAAAGCAAGCTTTCAGAGATGAAGAAGATGCACAAGGGGGACTTGGAGATGGTCCTGGTTCTGGAAGAGAAGGACAGGTCTGGCTCTCATCTTGGTGAAATCCTAACGTCTCATTATCTGCCGMGTGGGGAAAGGATTGTTCCTTTCCTTCCCTTCTTTTCCTCCATTCCCTCCTTGTCCCAAGGCTGTGAGTGGCTTACTGGAACATCTCCAAAACAATAAGATAGCAAACTGGGGATGACATTGGGCAGGAAAGAAAAGGAATAGAATGTAACATGAGGCAGAGACAGTAGATAGCTATTCACGTGGTAAGTTCCACTTAGATACTAAATCTAGCATTCAGTGTTAGCTTTAAGATTCCTGGTAACCAAGGAAAAAAGGAAAAACAATCTTGGTGGACATGAGATTTGCATTCCTCCCTGGGTAAAACAAGCCAGTAGCTCAGAGGAAGCCCAGTTGTACTTGGCACTATCAGAGAAAAATTTCTCTTGTGGTTCTTTCCACGGGAAAAGTAAGTGACCATATCCTCATAATAAATACTAGTGAATTTTGTGTGACCTGTTTTCCATCATATCTTTGAATGCTGGCAGGAGGCCCAAATCTGTACAGTACAGGGAGCCAAAAGCAGAACAATGTCAATTAGATACAGAGTCTGCTGGAGTCCAGAGAAACAGTGGACAGTAGGCCTTTTGGCCATCTTTAGTGCTCATCATATTTTACAGCCAAGCTTTTGATAAAAACTTGTTAGGAGAATGTTTACGTTTTATTTGTTACCATGAACCTTGCATTTTGATACTCCTGCCCTGTGTTGGTAGTTACTAAATGGAAGGTTGAGTTAGTTAAATGTCAGTGAGACTACTAGCTAACCTGTGACCTGTCTGTCAAAGAGTCAATCTTGTTTGGAATTTGTTGGAAATTGTTCCAAAGTGAATGAACTAAATCCAGGGAATACTGACTAGTTCCTTTTATTWAAAAAAAAAAAAAAAAAAAAAGTCATTGGTGCCTCCTGCATTGAAACACCCCCCGCCCCCACAACGTAGTTTAATTCTTATGTCCAAATGCTGGTGGCGTTTACTTCTCTCTGGGTGCCATCTTTTGAGATTTGTGTCTGCTACTTACTTTCATTTATGGGTTGGAAAAAATCAGATGAGCAAACCTTTTGCRATTTCCTGTGAAAGAGGAGAGCCCGTGGTCTCCATGTTTAGGTGCTCTAGCTTCTGCGTTTGGAGGAGCTAGCATTGTTGAGCATGCTGTGGCCTTTTCTTTGCTTTGAAGTTAAGTTTTGTGATGAGGAAACTGAGTTCTCTGTGGATCCCAGTGGAGGGAGTAGGGACCATCCTGGCTTACCATTTGAGTCCTGTGTTTTTCTTGATCACATTGCTAGGAAGAGAAACTTCCCTGGAGTGGGGTTTTATCCTAAGAGCATGTAGAAGCCACTGAAGAGTTAGGGATGAGGTGCRGCACGACAGGATCAGGTTTAAATTTAGAGAAGCTGCCTTTGGGTCTGGTGCAAGACTGGTTCTCAGGCTGATACAGACTTGCAGACAGGAGGTGATGTGATCAGCACGGGGGAGTGGTTGGAGCGAAGGAGAACAGGCCGAGATGGAGAAGGTACGGGGGGTGTGATGACCGAATGGATGTGGGCTGGGGGAAAAGGCTGCAGGCTGAGTTGTATCCTCTGGGCCAGGGTGGAGCCTGAGCAGCTGCGGGATGGGAGTGCAGTTTGCTGAGTTGGGGAAGAAGGGGAAAGAAGCCGTGTGTTGAGGGGTGGGGCGGGGGGAGATGCTGCTTTCTTTCCGGACCCAGTGGGTTGAGGACTCTGAGTGAGTGAGTGGAGCTGAGGAGGTAGGTGGGTCTGTACATGGATCAAGGCCGGATGGAGGATGAGTAGATTCATTCCTTAACCAGCTGCTGAGCATGRCCTGGGGTGCGCATAGGAAACAGAGGAAGCACAGTCCTGTTTATTTGGAGCTCTGGGTGGAAGAGGCAAATTCAGGGCCCTGTGCTYGGTGAGGGGCAGGGAAGGCTCATCAGGGGAGGAATCCTGGAGGTGCTAGCTCAGGGAGTGGTGTGTGCAAAGCCTGTCACACAGCCTGATTGTGGAGTCCCCGATAAGTATTCCCGGTTTGCGTTGCTGCGGAAGCATGATTTCTTGTTTTGTTTGCTGGGGGAAGAGGGACTTTGGGAGGATGAGTACTTACTTTTGTCCGGCTGGTGGGTTCTCCGGGAATGTGGGTGGTCATTCAGAGCTTTGGTAAAGGCTTCATCTTCCTGGGGTTCCCGCAGTTCCGTCTAGATGGGCACAGAAATCTGGTTTGTCAGACTTGTGAATGTGTTTGTCTCAGGGCTAGAGGTKTCCCGGCTGCACTGCCAGAGACTGGCAGCCAGATGCCAACTCCAGATTTGTGTTCAGGATTTGACAGTCTTTATGGYGAAACTCTGGGGACACAGATCTGTGTGCCCCCTCTCTGAAATCAGTCCTGCCTACTAGGCTCGTGGGGGTCAAGAGGTTAGCACTGCAGTGGAACAGGGGTCCCTGGTTACATCCTGGTGAGAGGGGTGCCAGATCTGCCAGAGTGACTCTCTGTTGGTCCTGGAGTTGGATCCTGAGGCCTGGCCCCTCACTTGAGTGGGCACTGCCAGTATCTTCTGGGCTCCCGCCACCCCTTTTCAAAGAAAGACACAGGTTGTAGTTTTAGTTACTTTATTTCCTTCAGTCTGGCCTTTGAACTATTCAAATCTTAAAGGCAGTCAACTTTGGGGACCCTGCAAGTCGAATATGGCCTGCAGATTATTGTCTTTTCTTTGGTCTACACAGTAGTTTTAAGTTTGAATTAGTTGCCAATATCTAAAACAGACTTTCATGTAAAAGTCTGGATTTCTAGTTTCTCTTGAAAATCTCCAGATGCTGCCTTGCTGGGTCAAAGCTGCTGTTCCCTGTGGATGAGCCAGTCCTTCAGTTGGCCTCAGACTCCACAAGYTTGCCCCACTTTTTTCACTCCCTATCTGAAACTTGCTTTATGGTAACTGAAAAAAATCAATTTTATTGAGTTATAAATTACATACAATACAAGGCATCCATTTAGAAGTGTATTGTTGGGTGACTTTTTACCTCTCCATTGATGATGTGATGATGTGATGATTYCGAGCTAGACCCCTAGAGGGCAGTCTTACTCCTCCCTCCACATTTTTGGGGGCATCGCGCAGGTGCAGCCTGGTGCCCCATCCCAGTGCATTGCTAGCTATTCCAGCTGCTGTGTCTCCTTTCTAGCCTTAGCTGGGGGAGCTGAGTGCTTCAAGAGGGCTGCTCTGCTGTGTTTCCAATCCTTTACTCTTTTACTAAAACTGAGTTGCTTCCTTGGTTTAGCTACAGAAAGCATCTTCTGAGGTCCTCAGACAAAATGCTAATTGTTAAATGTTGAAAAGGGTAGTAATTGTAACAGCTGCCATTTGTTGAGTTCTGCCACAGGCCACGAGCTGTGAGGATTGTGTTAAATGGCTTAACTGCAGTCCACATGAGTAAGTTATCCCTTTTATAGCCAAGGAAATGCAGGCTCAGAGAGGTCAGATGACTTGCTGTGGTTGGGGAGTGGTTGATATGGGGACTTTAGTTCTCAGAAAAGAATGTGTTCATTTCTCCCTGTTGGGGCCACTCAGGTTGTGGATGGCAAAGCTTTCCTTAAGGGGAAAATGCTTAACCAGTGTGACCTGGTGGGACAGGTGGGAAGTGGGTGGGGCAGGGTTGGGAAGGACATTCCAGGAGCAGCTGATACAAAGGGATGGAAGCACACAGTCTGGTTTGGGAGAGAGCCGGAAGTGAGGCTACTACCTAGYGGTGGAGGTAATGGTTTCCTTTGAGATGAGACTGAGGCTGGGATATCTTGTCCAAGAGTTTGGCCTTTAACTTGAAAGTCAGTGTGTTTAAAAGCTTTGCCCTGAGGAGCTGTGGAGGAATCCCCTTGTTTTCTCCACACTCACCAGAGCACCTTTCCATCAGTTGTGTTTGCACAGACTTCTTTTGGAGGCAGGATTTTTTACCCAGAAAAATATTAATCCACTGCAGTCGGTGGGGGCAGTTGAGGTCTTTGAATTGGGGTGTGATCTGACCAGTGTGGCTGCCCAGAGTTGGATTCACTGGGGCCAGGCTAGAGGCAAGGGGACCTATTAATGTCATACTGATTCTGGCCTTTGACATCTGATCTGCAAGGTGTGTTTTTATTTATGTTTAGTCACTGGACCTGTCTATTTTGAACATGTCTGGCTCCATTTCCTGCCTCCTCCTGCTCCACTGAGCTAAGAGAACAGCATAGAATTAATATTTAAATTTTGTTCTCTTTTAGACTGATTGAGGAGTTGAAGCTGTCTTTGAAGAGCAGAGAAGCTTTAATTCAGTGCCTTGAAGAGGAGAAATCTCAGACGGCATGTCTTGATGAGAATGTGTCATCTGGAGAGCTCCGAAGACACTCTGCTGCTCTGAGGGAGGAAAAGGAGAGAGATGCTGAGGTGAAGTGTCAGCGCACCAGGGGGCGCTTTACCAGATCCTACTCCTCTATGGGAGATGGACTGGCCTTCATTCTGTGTGGTTCATACAAGGTCAGCTTCCAAATATGAGTCTTGTGAGCGAAGAATCAGCAGAAACAGCCTTTGTCAGGACCTGGCATTTTCTCTCCCCTCTCATGTGAAGAGTTGGTTAGAAAAACAGTGCCCGCTGGTCTGTCTCATCATGTGTTAATCTGTTGTTGCCTGTGGACTCTGTTTTCATCGTTGGGCTTTCTTAGAGTAGAACAGTGGTGCATTGTGCTTGTCTGTTTAACCTGTGTGGTGAGAGGCAGGCTTGAGGCCAGCTTTGGTCTGAAACTTCAGAGGTGGTGGGGGGACGGAAGTGAGCCCTGCTGGGCCTGGTGGCATTTGAGGGGTTCAGTGGACTATCTCATTCAGTCTTCCCAGCCACCTGGCCAGGAGGAGATCCCCGTCCCCTTTTGAGTTTAGAACCAGACTCAGAGGAGTTGTTATATTTTTCCAGACTCCAAGAGGTGGGTTGCTGGTAGCTGACCCCAAACCCCTAGACCCCTGCCCTGACTCTAGGTGGCCTCCACAGCTACTGTTTGGAACAGGGCGGTCAGGGCCAGGAAGTGCAGGCGGGTCTTGATCTAGACCTTCCATTCTTTCTTTCTTTCCTTTTTTTTAAAAGTTRTAGGTGGACACAATACCTTTATTTTGTGTATTTCTCTTTATGCGATGCTGAGGATCAAACCTCGTGCCTCACAYGTGCTAGGCAAGTGGTCTACCACTGAGCTACATCCCCAGCCACTAGAGCTTCCATTCTTGCTGGAGCAAGGGTGGTGGCTGCTGCATGCAGGAGGTTCACAGTGGGACATGTTCTGGGTGCTTGTGGAGGTCTTGGTTCCTTTATGCCTTGTCAGTGAGTTCTTTAGCCTTGCCAGGAAATGACATTGCCTCCTACTCCTCCTTTTAAGCCTCCTTTGCACTCCACGGGGCAGAGAAAAGGAGAGAACCCTTGACTTAATGAATGCCACAGCAATGGGGAAAAGTAGGTTCATGAGGTGCTCATTCTGCTTGTTTTAGGAAAGCTAATGGGGTGCCGTCTCTCTGGGTCTAACGAATATCTTTTCTTAGGCTGCACAAATGGAGCATCAGAAGGAGAGAAGTCATTTTGAAGAAATGATCCAGGTATGTTGATACATTTTATTGAAGATTTCTCCTATTCTTGCTTCTTGTTTTATTCCAAGTGTGATAGACAATTCTGTGTATCATCAGCTGTCAGTTATTGAATGCTCCTGGGTGCCATTAAACTTAAGAATCTTTAGAGGGAGTTTCTCAATCTTTGTGGTAACTGTGTAACAGTCCTGTTTTACAGATGTGTATCTGAGGCCAGGAAGGTGAGGTCACTTGTCCAGGATCACAAAGCTGGTTAGACTATGGTGAGGACTCAGACCTGCCAGTCCACGGGCTCTCCCAGTCATGGTAGCCGGATTTGTGTTGTGCCCACAGCATAGAAAGTGCTTTCATGTCCATTACCTCATTTGACCCTTACAGCAACCCAGGAGGGAGGCAGCAGTGATTATCTTTAGAAATAAACTTACACTGTAAATGTGTAGTTTAGTCTCCATCAAACCAGATTCTCTGCTAGCTTTTGTAGCATTAAGGAATGAAATTAATGGTCTGTTATTTCCTTCCAAATAACCTGGTACAGTTCAAAGACTCTGATGTGACTGTATTCAGATTTTGGAAGGCACTGGAGTCCTTCCCATAGGAATAGCTGTCATCATCTCAGCTGATCTGATCCCCTTCCCTTCACCCAGTCCTGTTGCCGAGAGCAGTAACACAGTAACTTGGAGCTGATGCCACTGGTTCAGCTCGACTTGGAAACATTAATCACAGGTTGACAGGAATAAGAWAGAATAACTGCATTTGAGTGTGCTCTTAAAGATATATTTACAGTGCATTTTGGTTGCAACGCATCAACTTAGTGAATCTTTTTCTAATCTAATTTAGGCACTTCAGAAGGACCTGAGAGAAAAGGAAAGAGAAATTGCTACAGAGAAGAAAAATAGTTTAAAGAGGGATAAAGCCATTCAGGGCCTAACCATGGCATTAAAATCAAAGGAAAAAGAGGTATGTCTGATACACTTGAGGTGAGATTTTTCTTTATTAGTTTCTGTCACTGGCCTGTTCTACCCTGAATTTTTAGCTTTAGGTAAAAAGTTCATAAGAGAGCTGAGATAATATAAAAAGTGGGGAAAGGATCCTTTATTTCATTGGAAATCCAGTGCGCCCAAGAAAAATATGTTAAACATGTAATTTAAATTTCCTAATAGTCACATGGAAAGAAGTATAAAGAAACATGTAAAATTAACTTTAATAATATATACGTCCCAGATATCATTTTAATATAAAATCAATAAAACAAAGGTTATAATGAGACATTTAGCTTTTTTCCCCAGAGTTTGAAGTTCAGATGTTCATCTCGGTCCATACTCGGCCCAACTCATGTGGCTAGTGATTGCCCTGGTGGACAGTTATAGTCAAGATCTGATCTTTTGGTGGATAGTAGAAAATTGAGGTAAAGGAGTTGATGAGCCTGTGACTGGACCAGTTAAAGAGCCATCTGGTTGGTTGTCTTTGGGATCCAAGGAGATGGCTGATGGCTGTATTCTTGTCATTGGAGCTGTCAGTTGTGTCCCAGTGATATGCTAGGTGCAAGACCCCACATGGAGGGGACACTCAGYTCTGCTTGCAAGTCCAGTGTAGAACCAAGAGTGATAGGTGTGATTGAGGGAGGTTCAGGGGCTGGGGTGGCAGAGGGTGGAGCAGATCCTGATGTGAATTTTAAAGAAGGAGAGTGTGGGTGTTAGACGGGAAGGAAGGCAGAGATGGGAGGCCATTTTGGACAGAGGGAAAATGTTGGTCAAGTCATAACAGGATTATAGGCCAGGGTGTGTGTATGGCACCAAAACCAGCCTGGGGCTGCCCGAGCACAGAGTGGAGAACTTGTGTGAGGCGAAAGAAGAAGCTGGACTGGTTGCCAGGGGCAGTCAGAGGAGGGGACTAAACGTATTTTCAGCTGCTCAGGGGGCATGCCACCGGGGGCTCTTGGGTAGGAGGGTGTGGTTCCATTTTCCTTTTAGAGAGGCCTCTGCAATATTTGGAGAGTAAATTACAGGAGGGAAAGAATGGAGGCAGAGAGGTCAGGAGCCCTGTTGAGAGTCGTAATTGAAGATTAGAAATAAGGTTGTGGAAATCTAATGTTAGATGTTGAACTTCAGATAAGGGATAGTCAAGGATGACTTTAGGTGTCTGACTCGCATGTCTAGGGACCTGGGGTTGCCGCCAGCTCAGACCATAGCATAGAAAATGGAGTCTTGTGGTGAGCTGGGGCAGTGGTGGGGGTGATGGGCTGTTTAGAGAGTACTGGCCTGGGAGCCCTGGCTGAGCTGTCCAGGAGGCAGAAGGATCTGCAAGTCTATAAAGCGTGGAGAGCATGGTCAACCTGAAGAGCTGACTGGGAGTCACTCCCCTGTCTGCAGGTGGGCTTTAAAATCTGAGAGTTGGCCTGTTTACCCAAGGAGAGAGTAGAATGGGAAAGGAGGCTGAGGGTGAGACTGCGGGGGACTGCAGAATTTCAGGGACAGGGTCAAGAGCGCACAAAGCAGGCAGCAGGAATGGTTGCAGGAGTAGGAGCCTGAGCAGGAAACGGGTCCTGACGAAGCAAAAGGAATGCAGGAGTTTGGAGCAACAGAGGTTTGGCTCCTAATAACAGCAGCCACCATTCTTGTCATGTGTTGGAAGTTCAGGGCCCAGCTGAAGCTGGAGACCTCACTGTGTTGAGGAGCAGTTCTGGGTGCTAGCAAAGTATAGGATGTGGTCGTGGTAGTTCATAGCTGACCCTAGGGTATAGGAGGCGGTCTCTAGAAGATGAAATTCTGGGACTAGCCAGGCCAGGTGGTTGGGTGGGTCATCTCTGTGGCCAGTAATAGTAGTAACACCTGGTATGAGCCAAGCACCATTTGAGCACCAGTGCATATTACCTCATTTAACTCTAACAAYTCTACAGTTGGGTGAGTGGTGGTAACCTCATCTTATTAAGTACCGGAGGTGGGGTAGCTTTATCAAGAAAAGAGGTTTATTTAACTCACAGTTTTAAAGGCAGCCCCATAGGTTCAGCCTTTCTTGAGGGCCTAATGATGGTTGGTAGGAGCATGGTCAAGAGGAAGAGATCTCCAAACAGGAAGTCATAGCAAAACTAGGAGTCCAGAGTCCCTCCTAAGAGCTGACTTAAGGACCAGTTGATGTAAGGACCTCCCACTGAGCTACACCTCTTAAAGGACTTGCCTCCCAGTGTTGCCACACTGAGGACCAAGTTTCCAACACATGAACCATAGCTGAAGTTGAGAGAATTGGATCTTAAAGAGGTTAATTCATCCAGCTAGTCAGCTAGAAATCCCACTCAGGTATTTTCTGACCACAGAGCCCTTGTATATACAATTGAGCAGGAAGAGCATTTGGGCTGAGCAGAGAGGAGAGCCCAGTTATATATTTGGCTGCCATTCCTTACTTTTTGCTAGGTTGAAGAACTTAACTCTGAAATCAAAGAGCTCAGTGCTACCTTTGCTGAGGCCAAAGAGGCCCTGCAGAAAACACAGGAAGCACAGATCCTGAAATGCCAGGTGAGTGTCACTTTAATTTCAGGGTGTGTTTACCCCCGCCCACCCCCCCCTCCCCAATGCTAGGCACTGAGTGCTCATGCTCAGTGCTCATGCTCTGCCACCACCACACTCCCAGCCTTGGGACTATCTCTTATCCTAACTCTGGATGAGGTCAGGGCTTTGCAGCTGAAGGGAACCTGGATGATTTAAATAAGGAGAGCTGTGGGTGGTCTTTAGTGATAGAATCAGCTCAGTCTGTTTAAGGGGAAATTCTCTGCCAGCTTTGGGAGCTTCTCTAGCCCCCTCCTCAATTTGATAACAGTGATAACTATTCCCAGAGTTGCAGTGCCGAGTATTAGTGCAGCGTRTGTGGATTATCTCTTGTAATCTCCCCAGCCCTGTGGGGAAGGTAATCATTCTCACCCTTATATTTGTGAGGTTTTTGAAACTCAGCAAGGGTGTATAGCTTRTTCACTGCCACACAGCTGGCAAACTGTGGGGCCAGGATTTAAATGCAGTGATTGTGAATACCAGCAGGCTTTTATTGAACACATACTTTGTGCCAGGCCCTGCTAGGTGCTCCCCATAGATTATCTCAGTTATCTGTCCAGCAGCTCTGTGAAGTAGGCACTGTTAATATCTTGTTTTACTGCTGAGGAAGTCCAGGTTGACAGATTGAAGTAACTTGCTAGGGTCCTTACACTGGTAAGTGACAGAGCTGGGGTTTGAATCAATCTCATTGCCCAGCTTGAGCTTTTGCCTGCCATCCCAAACCTTCCCTCACCTGGATGCTTCAATTCTACCTCTTCCTTCTGAATTTTGGTTCCAGAGGTCTTGCTGTTTTTATGGCTGGTCTTTTCTCTTTTGCTGCCCTACCACATTGTACTAGAGGGACTCCTATTTTCCCCTTTGTCTGTCTCTCTCTTCCTAATTTCAGTTTTGTGCTCTTTAATTATTTAAGAATTTTCTTCCCATGTTTCTGGTTTCCCGAAACAGTTTATACCTATGACTCAGGATGTAAGGAATCCGCCAGCCCAGTAAGTCCATGCTGCCCAGGGTCTTCTTCCTGTCCCTGCGCCAGTGCTGCTTGTGGTCGTAAGGTGGAAGTTASAAGTTAAATCTAGGGCATGTGGATTCCTAATCTTCACATCCCTTCCTCATCTTTTGCAGAGCTTTGGTTCACAATAAGAATAATTGAAGTAATTTGGTTTAAATCATGGTATGCTAGATAAACCTCTGCTTTTGTGAGTCTCAGACTTGCCCTCTCCTACTGTGTTGACAGTACTTGATGAAATGGAGCTGCAATTACATTTCACTCTGTTTTTTCTCCTCTAGCTTAGAAAATAACAAGCTTTAAAAGCTGAATCCTTAGGAAAACCATCCAATTTTCCATTGCTTAAGAAAAAAATATATATGTTGGCAATTGATAGCCAGAGACCCGACATTCTTATAAGATTTGGGGTATTTTACTTATTATGTTGGGCCTTGAAGAAAAGAAAGGAGTCTTATGAATTTAAATGTTTCCCAGAATTATTGCATACATTTATTAATTTAATAACTCTTAGTCCTAGTTGAAAGACTTTCAGAATATTTAAGTCTTGCAGTGCACAGGGCTCAGGGACTGTTGTAACTCCTGAGGTTATGTAAGGTGGGCTGTTTGGAGAACCTTCTTTGAACCTTTATCCAAAAAGATAGTGTGTTTGTGAATGGTAGAGAGTTTGTGGCAGGATTTGAATTCAAATCTGTCTCCAAAGCCTGTTTTTTCCTACTTATCTGTGAATAAATGTACACAGTACACATATATTGGTTTTCTGTTTGAAGTATGTGCATGGTTTTCACAGACGTGTAAAGTGTCTCTTCCATGTATTGGGGCCTTTTGGATATCACACGCTCTGAACTAATTGCAGCAGTAGTAGAAGAGCCAAAGTTCACAGGGCTGGCTTCAAGCCTGACACTGAAGTGACAGSAAGTGACAGTTAAGCCTTGGAGTGGCTGCCCAAGCACAGATGCACAGAGACGTGAATTCTGATCCCAGGTATGACTCTGTGCGAGCTGCAGTGTGGGCTGCCTGGCATTCTTCCAAACCCAATTAAACAAATTATTTCCAAATTGGAAATGGCATCCCTCTTCTAACTATAAAACTGAAATGCATATTTTAGGAAGTTTATTTTTACTTTTTATTTATTTATTCATTTTTTTGGGTCCTGTGGATTGAACCCAGTTTTTTTTTTTTTTTTTTTTTAAACCACTGAGCTACATCTCTAGTCCTTTTAATTTTTATTTTGAGACAGGGTTTCACTAAGTTGCCCAAGCTGGCCTTGAACTTGTGATCCTGCTGCTTTGGCCTCCCAAGTTGCTGGGATTACAGACCTGCATGTTTTTTCTTTTCTTTACCCAACATTCTTGCCACAGTAGTATATATAGATGCACTCAGTCTATTTTATTTCGAGACAGTTGAGTCACGTGTGGTATAGATGTCTGAATTCTTTACTCAGTTGTCAAAGGTAGCATCACCTCCCAGGTCACACAGCTGAAGCTGGCCTTGAACCCAGGGCTCTAACTCTCTCCCTTTTGAGCTCAACATGTTTCTACACAATTGGCAGGGGTGGTTTGTTTAAGATTATATTTGGCCTTTAGCTCCTGACCATGTTTAATTGGACCAAATATTTGCCATTGAGCATCATTCAGAAAAAGGTAGAAAGCCCTCCAGAGAAGTAGATCAAAAAGCCATTTAAGGAAAATTCAACGTGGACAGAGTTATGAAATGAATAGAATCAATGCATTTAAATTCTTTAAGCTTAGATATTTAAAGAAGTTTCACCATTCCTATTTATGTGGAAATCCTGTAGAACTTTCATTGCTTGATAATAACTGTTAATATCAAAATTAGGCACATTTAACAAGTGCCTAATTGATGTTCCTGTCTCTAACCTTCACCCCCACCCCCAACTCATTCTCCTTGTTTTCATTCTTGTTTCTTTCTTTCTTTTCTTTTTTCTTTTTTTTTTGAGTTCATTGGAATCCTCACTGATCTGGGCAGGGCAGTGCAGTGCTGTGGAAAGAACACGGGCCCTGAGTCATTTGAATCCCAGATCTAGTCACTGTGGTCTGAAGACAGACTAGTCATTTAGTAGTTCTCAACTTGTTATTTAAATGGGCACAGAAATGTGTACTTTTGCAGTTGGTATGAAAAAGAGAGACACCCTGTATGTAAAAGTGTTTGTTTAGCTCTTTTTATAAAATCAGTGCTTAATAAAGCACAAAAGGGGAGTTGTAACTGTTGTTCAAGAGGAATTTTAACAATCATTGTATACTTTCTTTTATTGGTTGAGTTTAAACATTTTTTTGTGGGGGTGGGGTATTGGGGATTGAACCCAGGGTTGCTTACCCRTGGAGCCACATCCCCAACCCTTTTTATTTTTTATTTTGAGACAGAGTTTCATTGAGTTGTTAGGCCCTTGCTAATTTTCTGAGGCTGAATTTGAATTTGCATTCCTCCTGCCTACGGAGTTACTGGGATTATAGGAGTGCATTATCATGCCTGGATGTCATAGACATTTAAAAAAAATATTTTTGGCCTTTTGACCTAGGTTTCCCACTTTTTATTAATTTCCAAAGAAATAAAAACGGAAGCTTTCGTAAACTTACATTGCAGTTTGATTGGTGCTCACTCTCATTTCATGTTGCTCTGTGTCAAATAAGCAATTAGGGGAACATAGGCCCGATGACTGGGTTTAGGTGGCCCTCAAACAGCAGAGGTCTGTAGCCCCCAGGTTCACCGTGGTTGTAGTCCACTTCCTGAACAACTGGGTTGACACCTGAACACCTGTGACCTGAAAAGGCCAAGAAGCTGGAGCTATTATTCGAGTCTGAATTGTAGCTTTTGAGAATTCAACTGTCAGCTCCTTTTGAATTCTTAATTTTGCATATTAGTCAAAGTAAAAGAACAGATTTATTAAAAAGTTTTATTTTCTCCTGATTAGAAGATTACATATGCTTCCACTCCTCCCCTGATTAGAAAGAAAAAGAAGAAATCTGGAAATGACCCACTCAATATTGATGTTTTAATGTGTTTCTTAATGACTCTCTTTTATRTATAGATTTTTTTTACATCATTTAAAATTAGGTTTTTTATTTTTTTCGTGTAACACTGTAACTTGGATATATTCCCATGTTATTGATTCTTTGTAAATGTAGTTTTCAGATTTCATTGTGTATATTCATCATACTTTATTTTTGCATATTTAAGTTGTTTCTTATTTTTTACTGTTATAAGTGATAATATAACATTGGTCCACTTTATGCTTTGAATATAGCCCTTGCTGCTCTGCCACTGTGTCTTATTTTTTAAAGGACATGTTTTTTTTCTCTTCTCTCCTTGCTCCTCTCTCATCTCAGGGGAAACAGGATCAACTTCCTTCCCCATGCTAGGCAGAGGTATCTGTCCCTGAGCACACACCCACCGTAGGAACAAAATCATGCATACTCTGGGGATGGGAACAAAATCATGCATACTCTGGGGATGGAACCAAAAGATCTCAGAAATGACTGTCTCTCAAATTAACAAGTAAATTACAACTGTGGACAGAGAACATGTGGAATGTAGCCTTTGGATTACCTCTTTAAAAATCCTCTGTTCCCCTTGATGGGCAAAATCTCAGCCTTTGGGACAGGAATCCTCTGTGTTTCTCCTTCCCTAGCAAAGCAATAAAATTTCTTTTTCTCAAAATGTGTCCTCATTATTAGATTGGTATTGGGGACAAGGACTGATGAATGACTTTGTAAATACCCCCCCTCCCCCATATTTTGGGATCTTCTGAGATTCAATTCAAGGAATGGAATTATTGGGATGAGTGTGAACGTGTTTATGCTATTCAGATGTACTCGATGTATATATCAATCTGTCCATCTAGGGTTATATTTATTTACATTTCTCCCAATATATTTCCTGGCTTCTGGGTGTTACCAAAAGCTTGGTCCTTATCCCTGATGCCAATCCAATAACGAGGACCCAGTTTTGAGAAAAAGAAAAGTTTTTATTGCTTTGCCAGCAAAGGAGAAACATAGAGGACTCCTGTCCYAGAGGCTGAGATCCAAAGGCTACATTCCACATGTTCTCTGTCCAGAGTTGTAATTCACTTGTTAATTTGGGAGGCTGTTATTTCTGAGACCTTCTGGTGCCATCCCCAGAGTCTGCATTACTTTGTTCCTGTATGCCCAAGGACAGATAACTCTGCCTGGGATGGGGAAGGAAGGTAATCTGTTTCCCCTGAAATTAGAGAGGGGGAGAGATTAGGGAGGAGCAGGTAGAGAAGAGAAAGAAATATGACCTTTTAAAAATAAGTCACAGTGGCAGAGCAGCAAGGGCTTTGTATATCTCAGAATAAAGTGGACCACTGTTCCATGATTGCATGTCTGGCTATTCAAGAACAACTATGAAGAGTTGTGCCATCCACACAAGCTTGCCAGCCCTGAGTATCCCATTAAAACAGTCTTGCTTGATATCTGAGAACTTGTTTTAATTTGCTCTCTTTAATTATTGTGGGTTATGGCTTTTTTTTTTTCATGTTTGTGATCACGAATGCAGTTTTTCAGGTGAACAGTGTATTAATGAAATAAAGGTGTTCTTGACAAACTCTTGGACTTTGCTGAAATTATAGCCTTTCAAAGTGACCCTTGGAACTACCATGCTGACCTCTCCTTGTCGTCCTCTGGATTTAAACCATCTTAACAGCTAGTGCTTAGATCCATCACTACTTTTCAAGTGAAGCTGTGAAGCTGCTGATTTTCTTCCTTTTTAAAATGACATTTTTTTTGTCATTATGAAAGTAACATGTTCACTTACCTCAGAACATTTGAAAATATAGAGAAATGAACAAAAAATAAACTATACCTACTATATCTTCACCCCACTAAAGTTAGTTACTGTTAACATTTTGTGTTTTCTTTTGTTCAAAAATACTACTTCTACACAAGTATAGGCTTTCTTTCATATCTGATCATAATATAAACATCCTCTGTTAGTCCAAAATCTTCATATTGTTTGTGCTTTGAAACCTGAATGTTGTCTATGTTAATCTTTCTCTTTTCCTTTTCCCCCCCAAGGCGAAAAAGGAACAGATTTCCTGGTTTGTTTAATGAGGCATGAAAATCAGCTCACCCCCTCCCTTYTTTTCCAGGGCTCTGAAGGCTCCCAGGCTGCTCTGACAGAAAAGGAAGCCCTCTTGGCCGAGCTGCGCTCAGAAAACCTTACTAAGAGTTCGGAGAACCACAGACTGCGGAGGAGCATTAAGAAGGTCACTCAGGAGCTCAGTGACCTGCAGCAGGAGAAGGCGAGACTGGAGAGGGACCTGGAGGAAGCCCGCTGCGAGGGGAGCAGGGGAGCCCGCACCATCCAGGTGAGAGGCGCCCGGCCCCTGATGGTGGGTGGTGCGTTTGGCCTGCCTTGTGCTGCTGTTTGGGTTGTAGGGAGATATTCATTGCAGAAAATAGAAAAATGGGAAAAACATACAGAGAATACTTCACTCATCATCATCTCACCTAGAAACCACCAGTCTTAACTATCTGCTGTTTCAGTCCTTTTAGTTCTCTCTTTGCCTCTCACTATTGGTATCAAGGTGAGAATGCAGTTTGTAGGCCCTTTTTGATTCAGTGTTGGTTCTTTGCATGATTGTTCTTGAGAAACACAGTTTTTGTTTCAGCGTGGTTTTCCATGACTCGGAGGTGCCGCAATGTGTTGAATAGTCCCTTAGTGTAGAGCCTTTAGGTCGTTTTACTTTTTTTGCCTTGTAACAAATGCTGCAGCAAACATCCTTCTACGTGAGTATTTATGTGAATAATATTTAGCCACTGATTATTTTTGATAAASGTATAATTACCGGGCCAATCAGTGAATATTTTAAAGACTTTTATAGACTCAAATTGTCCTGGAACAAAGATTGTGCCAGGTTTCTCTGTGTCATCTTTTTAAAAGGCTGCATTCCATTCAGCATTGGGTATTAGCATCTAAAAATTCTCTGTCAATTTGGTAGGCTTATTAAATTTCAATTCTATCAAAATGTAAGTATTCAGCATCTTTTAATTTAATTCCTCCTGAGAGTCACAACCAGACACCCAGCCTTGGTGCCATCAGGCAGGACAGGGCCTGAGTCGGCGTGATCACTGACACTCAGGTTAATTAAATTACCTGCTCCAGAGCCAGGCAGTCGTTAGAGCACAGGGCTCTAAAGAGAGCGTTGGGTATCACTGGTTGGGGTTGCTTTTGGCAGGGCTGCCAGGATTAGGTGAAATCCTAACGTTAAGTCTGAACAGAGAATTGAATTACAAATGTTTGTGTATTTTAATAACATTTWTAATAACCATTAAGAGAGCAGTAATGGAAGTTTAGAGAAGTAAGAAAATGTCAGCTACAACTTTACCACCTTAACAAAGCAACGCTGTTTCCAGTTTTCCCCTCCAGTGGGTATGCTTCTGGGCTCTGTCTAATCAGAGACTAAATCCTGTTCTGTGTTTTTGGAGCACTCGCTCTATCATAGGCAACTTCCTTCTGCGAGGCTCCACAGTGATCACGTGCAGCAGTGCGTACTCTTTCACTGATGGCTTTCACGTGATGTCTTAATGATTTCCTCCTTTGTTGGATATTTCTGCTGTTTAAATAATGCCACAATGAATATCTTTGGGCATAAAATCATTTTTTCTTGAAATCCCTCAGGCAGATTCTGAAGAATGAGATTACTAAGTCATATGGTGCAAATCTTTATATTGGTTAATTATGCAGCCAGATATTAGAACAGAGGACTGGTTCAACTCAGGCTGCCACCAGCAGTAGTAGAGTATACCAGATTATTGCCTGCCATGAGCAGGCCAGTTTCCGAATTTGTCAGTGTTGTTGAACATCAAATGCATCTGGTTTAGCTGCTGATGGGAGGCCAGGGAAGCTTCTGAAGGTTTTACTTTTCTAAGGAAGATGAAATCTTATACATGACAAAGTGTAAAGCAGTTTACCATTGAGAGCTAACTCATGTAACTTACTGTATACTTGTGCAGAAGATCCTAGTGGCCTGGAGTAGCCAGGGAGACCTTCAGGGAGGAGATGACACATGAGTTGAGTGACAGGGGTAAGACTGGAGTAGTGTGCCTTACGAACGAGGCAAAGAAAAGCCTGGCCAGAGGTCCTTTATGGAGTTGAAGTTTTCATGGTTCATTCCAATGTTCTTCACTGTTGGATTCTTATTTATTTATTTGGCTTAAAATAGTCCCCTGCCCCTGTCATCATAAAAATGTTTATTTAGTAAAATCTGGATGGTGGGCAGGTGGGGAGATACATGCACACATGTAATTATACACTCATATATATACTATGTGCTTCTTTTTTTAATCTTATCATTTGGTCAGCATTTGAAATCTCTCTATAACATTGTTGGATCCATAATTCACTTATTCATAAAATCCCTGGTGCTTCTAAAAGAATTTTGCTCTGCTGCTGACATAAGATGCACTTCTGGGGCTGGAGATGTGGCTCAACGGTAGTGCGCTCGCCTGGCATGCGTGCGGCCCGGGTTCGATCCTCAGCACCACATACCAACAAAGATGTTGTGTCCGCCGAGAACAAAAAAATAAAAAAAAAAAAGATGCACTTCTGCATAACGTGTACATTTTCATAAGGAGGTTAGAATATTTGGCAAGGACTGGGAGGCCAGGATTGTGCTAGGAAGGGGTTGGGCAAGTACACTCTGAGGGGGGCTCCTTGGAAGCAGCAGGTACCTAGCTGACTGGCTTTGGTGAAAGGGAAATGCATTGTCTTGTGTAGTGAAGTTGCTGTAAGGGCGGACGACTCTGAGAGATGGCTGCTTTTTCTTTTTTTTTTTTAATTTTTATTTATTTTTTTTAGTCATACAWGACAATAGAATGCATTTTTATATATAATACATACATGGAATGTACATACATCAATCATATTGTCTATTCTATTCTGCYGCCCTTCCTATTCTCCCTACTCCTCCCCTCCTCTCCCATCCTTTCTCTCTATCCAATCTAAAGTGGCACATTTTTTTTCTTTTTCTCATCACAACATCATATATGTATTCTATATAACAATGAGGTTCTCCTTCCATCTTCTGTGCAACTCCCCTTCTCCCTCTTTTTCCCTCCCACCTGTCTTCCCTATTTAGTGGTGGTCTTCCCATGCTCTTCYTCCCTATCCCATTTTGAGTCACCCCCTTACATCAGAGAAGACATTCGGCATTTGTTTTTTAGGGATTGGCTAACTTCACTTAGCATAATCTGCCCTAATGCCATCATCCATTTGCCTGCAAATGCCATGATTTTATTATTTTTTAGTGCTGAGTAATATTCCATTGTGTATAAATGTCACATTTTTGTAATCCATTCATCTATTGAAGGGCATCTAGGTTGGTTCCACATTCTAGCTATTGTGAATTGTGCTGCTATAAACATTGATGTGGCCGTGTCCCTGTAGTATGCTCTTCTTTGATCTTTTGGGTATAGTCCGAGAAGGGGAATAGCTGGGTCAAATGGTGGTTCCGTTCCCAGCTTTCCAAGGAACCTCCATACTGCTTTCCAAATTGGCCGCACCAATTTGTAGTCCCACCAGCAATGTATGGGTGTACCTTTTYCCCRAATCCTCGCCAGCACTTGTTGTTGTTTGACTTCATAATGGCTGGAGATGGCTGCTTTTTCTTGCATTGGTTAACTCCAGGTCCAAGTAGTGGGACCCGTCATTGCCAGCCCTGCTGGGATCACAGGACGGAGGACTCTCACACTCCACTACCCCGCGGTCTTCCTGTCAGGATGGCGGACAGGTGAGGTACTAAGAAGCCCAGTGTGGGTCACATGCCATCTTCTTTGACAGGAGTGTGTGTGTGTGCACATGTGTACACCTTCATTGGCAGCCTCTCTAGAGCCACATGTTTGGAGGCACGCGAGCAGGCACCTAGAAAGTAGTACTTGGTTGCAACGCCCTGGGCCGGACAAAGCAACAGCTGTGCACGCTGAGTGCTTCCCTCAGGTCCGCACTCCTGGGGCTCAGAGCTTCCTGGCTTCTCAGCAAGTCCTACACATGTGTCTGACAGGATGATTTGGGAGGGTGTTCTTCATTTTGCATATATATATATTGCATCCCAATGGTATGTCTGCTTCACTTCTGGTTATAGTCTAAGAATTTGGCTGTGTTCATTTCATGAGAATGTTTTGCATCAGACTGTAGGGTGTAGATTCTGGGGAGACTTGTTGGGGTGCCAGTATCGCTTCCTGGTGAAGGATAGGCACAGGTGGAGCATAACCCTGTAGCCTTGCATATCTCATCAGCTGTTTCTGTTTACTAGGCTCTTTAATTAATTAACCTGAGTGCCTCCCACTTGCCAGCTGCTACTGGTGTTGCTTTTGGTTTGAAACAATGGGACAAMAACCCAGTCCTCTTAGTGGCCTCTCCTTCTTCCCTGGCAAAGCAAAGCGATCATTTATACATTTGGCAGCATTGGATCCATTGAACAGGCCCTCTCCTGGCTGTGGGCACAATTCTACAACAGAGATGGGGACACACTGCCCTGGGAGCACAGAGAAAGGAAGTGGCTTATAGGACCAGAGAGGGTTCCTGAGGATTGTAACTTTAGAATTGGTTCTGAAGTTTGAGCTGAAGGTCAACAAGTAGGTGCCGCTAAAGGGGGATTTTGTACTGAAGGCAGAGGAACAGAATATGATTTGTTTGGAGAAGAGGAATTTGGGGCTGTAATGAAGGGCAGTGGCCTCTAGGGCCCTGACTGGAGATTACCTGGAGGAAAGTTGGCCTTCAGAGGGCCTGGGATAAAGAGCTTGGGAGCTTGGACCTGACCTAGATTGTGGAGCCCCGAGGAGGGGAATTAAGCAGAAGACTGACAGGATTAGACTTGCAGTTTAGAAGGACCTGTGGTCTGGATGGCCAGAGGGTGATTGATGAGGGACAGCTGGGAGATGAGGAAATGAGACGATGGAACAGCTCTTTCCCGGACCTGTTAGCCAGGTCTGAGAGGCCAGAGYGCCGAGGAGGAGGGCAGGAACCTAGCCCTGCACAGCTGTGGCTCCTCGCGCTGGGGCACATTCACAGTTCCCCTGTGAGGACTCCCGTGCCCAGCTTTGGGTCTCATGTGCTGCCTGGAACTTTACCGCGTCCCACAGGCAGGGTGAGGAAAACACTGGTAAGAAGACGTCCAAAGCACAGTGTTGCTCTCAGGCCACAGTCAGCCCCGTTTTCAACACTTTCTTTAGTCAAGGAAACTGCTATTCAGTGATGGAAGTGCAGCAGGCAAGATCTCTAGTTGTTGGTCGCACCTTGTAGTTTATAGATGTTCTATTTTCTCGTGTGGCCCACAACCTTGTTTTTGGGCCAGAGAATACTATTTCC